AACAAAATCAAGGTTCTCGACAAATTTCCCATCCCAGTGATTGAAGAGTTGTTGGACGAAATAGGAGGGGCCAACATCTTTTCAAAACTGGATTTAAGATTCGGATACCACCAAATCAGAATGAAGGAAGAGGATATTGCAAAAACTGCTTTCCGAACACATGAAGGTCATTATGAATTTATGGTACTTCCATTTGGACTTACTAACGCACCTTCTTCTTTTCAATCATTAATGAATGAAGTATTAAGGCCAGTACTCCGAAAATACGTTTTGGTATTCTTCGATGATATCCTAATATACAGCCTGACTATGGAAGAACACAAGCAACATCTGCAAAAAGTATTAATGTTACTCCAACAAAATGAATTGAAGATCAATGACAAGAAGTGCTCATTTGGCCAAGATAACTTGGAATATCTGGGACATGTTATGTCTGCTGGAGGAGTATCCTCAGATCCTAAGAAGTTGGAAGCAATGACATTATGGCCTTTACCGAAGAATGTCACCAGCTTAAGGGGATTTCTAGGCCTTACTGGCTATTATAGGAGGTTTGTTCATGATTATGGAAGAATAGCAAGGCCATTGACCAACCTGTTGAAGAAAAATGCCTTCCAATGGAGTCCGGAGGCACAACTTGCTTTCGAACAACTAAAGCAAGCCATGACCAAAGTGCCTACATTAGCCGTACCCAACTTTTCACAGCCCTTTGTGGTTGAAACAAATGCTTACGGAACCGGACTAGGGGATGTTCTAATGCAAGAAGGAAGACCCTTAGCCTTTTGGAGTACTACCCTATCAGAAATGAATCAGAAGAAATCAGTGTATGAACGTGAATTGATGGCAGTCGTAAAAGCAGTCAAGAAATGGCGACACTACTTGTTGGGAAACCATTTTATTAATAAAACCGACCACAAAAGTTTGAAATTTTTGACAGATCAAAAGATGATCCGTGAGGAACAATACAAATGGATTTCCAAATTAGCAGGATATGATTTTGAAATACAGTACAAACCAGGGAAGGAAAACTCTGTTGCCGATGCCCTATCCAGGAGAAGTTCTTATTATGCCATGAAAATATTACAAATTCACGATTTCGAGGAATGGGCTGAAGAGATCAAACAAGATGTCAAGTTACAGAAAATTATGCAAGACCTAATTATCAATCCTATGTCGCATGCTGGCTACACATTAAGGGATCATAAACTATTTTACAAGGAGAAATTGGTGTTGTCCAAATCGTCCTCCAGAATTCCCATCATTTTAAAAGAATTCCAGTCATCCTTGGTAGGAGGACACTCAGGAATCTTCAGGACTTATAAAAGAATAACAGATCTAGTTTATTGGGAAGGGATGAAAATCGACATCAAAAATTTCGTTGCAGCTTGCGAAGTATGTCAAAGAAACAAAAGCGACAACTTATCACCAGCAGGACTGCTACAACCATTACCAATTCCTACTCAAGTATGGACAAACATTTCGATGGATTTTATTGGAGGACTACCCAAATCCATGGGGAAGGATATAATTCTGGTGGTGGTTGACCGGCTCACCAAATATGCCCCTCTTCATACCATTAGGGCATCCTTACACCGCTACCGATGTTGCTGCAGTTTTTCTATAGGAAATTGTAAGATTGCATGGATTTCCGTCTTCCATTGTTTCAGATCGCGATCCTTTCTTTTTAAGAAATTTTTGGAAAGCCCTTTTTAAAGCAGCAGGAACACAACTAAAATTCAGTTTGGCATACCACCCTCAAACGGATAGACAAACGGAAGTTGTCAATCGATGCTTGGAAGTTTATTTACGATGCTTAACAGGTACTAAGCCAAAGAAATGGGTCTCTTGTCTTCCTTGGGCAGAATTCTGGTTTAACACCAATTATAATGCTTCAAGAAAAATGTCCCATTTCAAAGCGTTGTGTGGACATGATCCACCTCACATTCTTAAGGGATCCACCATTCTTTCCCGCCTTGAAGAAGTCAACAAACTTACAATTGCTCAGGATGAATTATTGGCGGCTCTGAGAGAGAACTTGTTGAAGTCCCAAGATGTCATGCGTGCAAATGCCAACAAACACCGCTGAGATATAGAATATGAAATCGTTGATTAGGTGTTCTTGAAGATTCTACCTTACAGGAGAAGATCTTTGGCTAAAATGATTAATGAAAAACTCTCCCCTCGATTTTATGGTCTTTTCCAGGTGTAAAAAAAGTGGGTGTTGTTGCTTACAAATTGGATCTTCCATCTCACAGTAAAATTCATCCAGTCTTTCATGTCTCTCTCCTCAAGAAGGCCATTGGTGACTCTTTCCAATCACAACCTTTACCACTTATGTTATCTGAGGATCAGGAATTACAGGTTTATCCGGACGCTATTTTAGATATTCGTGAGTTACAACCTGGCAATGTGGAAGTCTTAGTTAAATGGTAAAATCTCCCTACAAGTGAAAATAGTTGGGAATCTGTGGCTAAATTACAAGAGGTCTTCCTAGATTATCACCTTGAGGACAAGGTGAGTCTTTTAGGCGGGGGTATTGATAAGCCTAGGCCACCCATCACCAAGTTTTACACCCGCAGGCCGCGATGTCCAAGGAGTGCAGGATCAAGAGATGCGAATTAGAGGGCGTGACCCTTGGTGAATAGACACACCCATCCAAAAGGATGCAACCCTTGGAACCAAACAACATCAAATCTAACAGTCATAACCCTTCAGATTAATTGTACCAATTAGGAACAGATGTTAAATACAATATAAATAGAAGCAAACCAGAATTAGGAAAACATTCTGGAAAATTAGGAAGAATTGGAAATAGGAGAGACAGGCTCTCGAAAACCTGAGTCGTAATATTCCAAAATTATCAATATAAATTTCTATTTTCATCCTTTTCATTTCTGTTCCATTATTGTTTTCTTATCAGATAACAACGTTTTATGGAGAGGCTTATTAACTGCAAGGTATGGTAATTTTTCGCAGACTTTATTGTCTCATGAGGGTGGCTTTAGCTCGTCTAACTATTCCCTTTGGTGGCGAGACCTGTCGTGTATAGCTAACTCAATGAAGGAGGGTTGGTTTTCAAATGTCATTTCTTGTAAGGTTGGTGATGGACGGTCCTTTCCTTTTTGGTTTGCTCGATGCTATAATATTTCACCACTGCACACTCTTTTTCCTGCATTATTTTCGGCATCTATCAATAAACATGCTCTGGTGTGCGATCTTGGCAATTGGGAGGAGTCCATTTGGCATTGGAATCTGGGCTGCTGTTTGGTAGAAGGTGGTGATGATGTGAATCACGAGCTTGCTGAATTATTCGTGATTCTGCAGGATATCCAACTTTTATTACGATGTTCTCGACAATTTCGTTTGGCCAGTAGGATTGGATGGTGTTTTTCTGGTCAGGTCTTGCTATCAAGGCATTGTTAGTGCTTCGTATGAGCCTATCATGGTGAATGATTTAAAATAAGCTTTGGACCTCATCTGGGCTTCAAAAACTCCAATGAAGGTTAAATGTTTTTTGTGGCATAATGATGTTTACCGGATTACTTACGCGTTCGAACTTGAGCTACATGAGGAATTATCTCTAACGCCCACGATAAGGTTTGTGTGTTTTGTTTTTTGACTGATAAAACAACTAATCCCTTCTTCTTCTTATGCCATAAAATTGCTTCTGTTTGGAGTAAAATTGCTACTTAGTTGGGAGTTTCAGTTTTGAGGAACTTTGATAGCCACTCTCATCATTTTCTTGAATGGATGTTATTGTTTAATGGGATTAGTAACAAGTTTGATGTAGGGTTCATTTGATTGGTAATTTGTTGGTGTATTTGGAAGTTCAGAAATCAGATTACTTTCAAAGATGAAATTTGTAATCTGGATACCATTTTCGACAATATTGTGTTATTTCCTTGGTTGTGACTACCTCTTAGGAATAAACCGTTTATGATATGCTCTTTTTACGACGGACTCAATCATCCTATTAATTTTTTGTAATAATTTCTTTAGGGTTTAAGTTGTTTGCACATGATTTTGTTTATCGGGTTGGAGTATCCCTAATACTTTCTATTAATTTATCTTTTTGTGCTTGATTATAAAATAAAAGATTTTTTTATTTCGTTAGGATTAATTTAAGAGGATAATCTTATTTTTCATTAACAAAAATTTATTTAAAATTAATAACATCATTCGAGTCTGACATTGTTAATAAAATAACATTCTTAAACCCAAACATTCACAAATAGTTTAAGAGAAATGCTATAATGACCCTTAAATTTTAACTCCGTAACCATACACTGTATTTCATATGTTTCATTTTTAACATTGCACAAACTTCAATGCACATAAAAAAATTAATAAAAGTGAAAAAAAAAATATATGATAGTGTATTTTTATACGATGTAGATATTAAATTTAGTGTTAATGTATCATTTCTCATAGTTTAATCGTAATATTAGATAACTCTTCTTGTGCGTATTTCTACGTTACTATCTTGCTCCACTCAAAATTATGCATACAGATACGTGTATTAGGGTTAGAGAAATGATGGAGTGACACTAAAAATTACAACTACACTGTATTTACATACTATTTACATTTACATGTACCTTTTGTTTTTTTAAATATTTTTCCATGCCTTGATTTGTGTGCCATTTTTAAAATGCTTTGAAATAGTTATGGTGTACAAATACGTGTAGATAATTTAGTGTCTAACATAACAAAGCTCTTAGGGTTATATATATACACCAGTTTGCAAAAATTATTACTGGTACAATAACGTTCCTCTGATAAGGTGACAGCTATTGCGAACTTCTGCGATGCCAATAAATTTCATTTACCATACTCAACTACCCTCTCACCAATCAGGTCTTAGTATTTTCTCTATAAAAAGATGCTTCCCCAACCACACTTCGCCACACAATTACTCAGGCTAAGAGAGAGTGAGTGAGTGCAGTTATTATAGACTACATTCCTAGGAAGTGGGAGAGAGAGAGAGAGAGAGAGAGAGAGATATGGCTAAGTGGTGTATGTTTTTGTTGGTTCTTGCTCTTGTTGTTGTAGCTGCAACAAGCGCGAGAGACGTACCAAGTGATGCTGGTCTCAAGGACCAGAAGAACTTTATGACATATGGTGGTGGTTTTTATGGATTAGGAAACAACGGATTACCTTTTGGTGGAATTGGAGCTGGTATAGGTGGTGATTTAGGTGGTGGCGGTGGACTTGGTGGTGCTGGTGGCTTAGGTGGTTTAGGAGGACTTGGAACTGGTATTGGGGGTGGTGTTGGAACTGGTGTTGGTGGTGGAAGTGGTGTTCTTCCTTCCCCTTAAGATATTGGTGTTGCTGACGGTTTTTTTTCTCTGTTTCTTTGAAATTGTTACTCTTTACTTTCAGTGTGTATGTGTTGTTTATCGTTTATGCATTCTAGCTAGCTAGCATTTCTTGTTTATTAGTGTTATTAAAAATTAGTGGTATCTCTTGTAACTTGTAATGTGTTATTTTGAAAGTAATGCAAGCAATTTATGAGTTTAATTTTGTACCTTTTATGTTTTTTCTCTCTTTTTCTTTCTCATATGATATATATATTTCGTATAACTTCCAAATTCATTAAAATAAAAACAAAGTGCGGAGACAGAGACATATAGTCTAACCCAATAAAATAAAATATTAAAGCAATCTAAAATAAAGACATATATCAATTATACAATTTAACAAACTACTTACCGCGTGAAATCAATAAATAAATCAAAATAAACTTAAATTTTATAACAATAATTGCAACTAATCTTAAATAAATAACATATATAATTAAAAGATGAAAACTTTGAAGTAATAAAGTACAAATTTAAGTAAAATATATTGTCAAATATAAATCAATAATGTGAAATTGTGAGAAAAGAATTTTAAAATAATAAATAAAGTGATGGAATTGCAAGAGAATGAAAATTAAAGAACAAATAAAATTAAAGAGAAAATTAAGTGTGAAATTTTCAAGTAAACTAATTATAGACAAATAAATTGTTAATGTAAAAAAAGCAATAAATAAGAAAATAAATAAAAGCAGTTGCAGCATATAGAGATATGTATTGCATATGCATGGTTGAATATAAATTTGGTGTTGCTTTCAAGCCCCTCAAGTGAGTAAAAACGATGGTGCTAAAGGGGTATTCCGGGCTAAGTGCTCCAAACGTTCATCCTTTGGAAACATGTATATAGGTGCATATGGCTAAACAAAAGAGACCAAAGGTACCTTATAGACTACATTCCTAAAGAAAAAAGAAAAATAAAACTAAATAAAACAGAAAATAAAAACAAGTGTTAAAAGTTAAAAGTAGTAGCTAACTCACACCAAAAGAAGGTAAAAACTAAGAGCATCTCCAATGGTGCAACTCATTTTTAAGTTTTTTGTGGGACCCACTATTTTAAAGCAACTCATTTAATTTTCACTCCAATGGTGCAACTCTAAGAATCCATATTGGGTCCCACCATTTTACTTAAAAAATATTATTTATATTAAATTTATTTTATTTAAAATTATAATTTAAATATTTAAATTTTAATTAAAATGATAATTAAAATAATAAATAAAATTTTATATTAAATTATAGTTTTTATATTATAAAATTAATATTTTAATATAAGAAGGAGATTTGGGTTCCTTGGTTTTTAAAAACACAGAAATAAAAAATAAATTATTTTAGGTTTGAGATTCCTTTCTTAACAATTTTATGTTTTATTTAAAAGCAAAGAAGTTTTTTTTTTTTTTTTTTTTTATAAATTTTACATCAAATATTATACTTCGATCTTTAAATAAATAGACATAAAAATTCTCTAATTTTTAATTCTTTTTGGAACTAAAAAAAAGTCCCTTTACTTTTTATAAATTTTATGTTGGATATTATATCTCGATTTTTAAATATAGCGAAATATTTTTTTTTTATAAAATTTTCTATTCCTTTTGAAATTAGAAAATGCGCCTTTATTTTTTTTATAGATTTTACATCGGATACTATATCTCGATTTTTAAATAAATCGAGATAAAAATTCATAATATTTTATTCATTTTGAAACCAAAACAGGTGTTTTTTATTTTTTTTATAGATTTTACGTCGGATATGTAACCTCGATTTTTAATAAAACTGAGATAAATACTCTAAATTTTTTTATTTCTTCAGAGTTAATGTTAAGTCTAACTCATTCACTTTTTGAGCCCTAGTAAATAAAAGAACAACATTCTTCTCCAAGGAGGAAGTAACCTCAAACCAGCACTTTCCTTTACAAGTCTCTCATCGCATTTTCGGTATGTATAAGTTCTTCATTACTGGTGCAGTTGTTGTTTGTTGTTGTTGTTGTTGTTGTCGTTGTTGTTGTTATTATTATTTTGAGACTGCCTTGTTGTTTATTATTTTGTTGATTGTGTATTGTTTTTATTTTATTTTCATCAGCTTTATGTGATTATGGATCGTAGTTGGATGAAAGCCAATAGGTTATGTAAATGGCATGAGAATGGATTGATACAATTTTTTGATTTCGCTGGAAAAAAAACCATCCTAAAAATAATGGGATTTTTGGTGTCATTGTAAAAAGTGATTTAATACGAAAAATCATCTCAGAGATGTTATATTCAATCATGGTGGTTGTGATGGAATTATTTAAAATTACACAAAATGGTTATGACATATTGAAGTGACCAAAAAGAGACCATTGTCACATATAGTTGAAGATGATGAATTTATGAATGATACTCTAGAAAATATGATTCGTGATATTATAGTAGATACTTTCAAGAATGCTAATATGGTCGATACTTTGGAAAGAGAGATGGAATATTCGTTGTATCTGGGATGTAAAAGTTTTACAATAATGTCAACTCTGTTAAGAATATTTAATCTTAAGGCAAGAGGAGGGTGGACGGATAAAAATTTCATTGAATTGCTTGAATTGTTGAAAGAAATGCTTCCCGAAGGTAACACGTTATCGAACCTTAGTTATGAGGCCAAGAAGATATTGTGTCTAATGGGTTTGGACTATCTCAAAATACATACATGTCATAATGATTGCATTTTATATAGGAAAGAGTTTAAAAACTTAAAGGAGTGTTTGAGGTGTGGGGAGTCACGCTACATGCAGAAGAACAATGGTGTTGATGATGATGATAGTGTAACTAGCAAGAGTGATCATTTCAAGGTGATGTGGTACCTACTGATAATTCCAAGGATCAAGAGATTGTTTAATAATGTTAATGACGCAAAGAATACTTTATGACATGTAGATGAAAGAGTGTGTGATGGAAAAATTCTCCATGTAGCTTATTCATTGTAATGGAAGACAATTGATTCCTTATTTCTAGATTTTTCCCTTGAACCTAGGAATCATAGGCTTGGACTTGCTTCAGATGGAATGAACCCTTTTAGTAATTTAAGTACTAATAATACGTCATGGTCTGTTCTTTTCATGATTTACAACTTATCTCCATGGTTGTGCATGAAAAGCAAGTATATGATGATATCAATGATTATTTCAGGTCCAAGACAACTAGGCAACAACATAGTTGTTTATTTAACGACATTCATTGAAGATTTAAAACTTTTGTGGGAGGAAGGTGTTGATGTTAATTGTAACACCCCCTTTCTATACCCTCAAATAAATAATTAAATTATTTAAGCACTTGATAAAAGTTTCATCAGAGTTTAATTAATACATGATATAAAAGAGGTGTATCACATTATCATGAAGTTAAACACCTACAACACCTGCTCAAAAATATATGCAACAATGGGCAATTCACAACTGAAGAACATAGTTCTAAAATCACACCTCAATATTTAGAATAAAGCGGAAACATCTAAACATTGAATCAATACATTCATATAAACATATATACATCATTCAGTTAATTCATATGTACAAACATCCATTATCAGATACATACGCAGATGTATCACAAAAGAAATCAAAGTAAAAGTATCTCCAAAAAGAACCAAAGGCTTCCTAACTACCCAGATGTTACATATCAGAGCCATCGACCAAAAATAATGAAGACCTGCTTCACAAAAAGGACCTCCAGCAATCCTACTCTACAATGCCTCATAGAGCATTATGAAATAGCAGAAGGGTGAGAAACAATATCATAACAGTCAATACATATATTTATATATCTATATACATACATGGGATTAACACAATTCAGATTCTCACCACATCTCATCACTATGCATATTCACACGATCAAGCATATTCATCAAATCATGCGTCTATACATAATCATCATCTTCCACATAAACATTTAGAATTATGTTCAATTCACTCCATGCATCATATAAAGATGACCAATGCAACTCATAGAGACCGACTCACGACTCTATGCAGATGCAAATGCGGTACCGACTCAATTCAGCAGATTCTCCAAGGAATCAAGTATTCAACAGATTCTCCAAGGAATCAAATATTCATCAGATTCTCCAAGGAATCGAATATTCAGTAGATTCTTCAAGGAATCAAATACCCTGCAGATTATCCGAGGAATCAAATGTTCAGCAGATTCTCCAAGGAATCAACATCGCTAGGATGTACATCATGATGCCTTTATGCAAAATGACTCACAACATTACTCTACATGCATACATATTCTCAAATATATCCCTATGCATATTCATCTCATACAAGCACGTACAATCTATGCACATTCACAATATACTTATACTTCATGAAATACACATACTCTTCATTTCAACACATACCATTCCATATAAGGCATATATTTTTCACAATCAAAATTCCACATTCTAGGATTCACGCCTTGCGGCTACCCATACATAATATGCCACACGACACACAAAACTATTCAATTCGATAAGGATTAAACATAACTGAGCAAAGAAATCCGCATGAAAAGGGAAAACACAGAAAATAGGAAAATGTTGTCGCATTCGCTAACCTTCGCCTGGCGAAGCCCCTGGCGAACCTTCGCTACTTAGTTCGCTGGGCGAACTTTCCAGCGAAGACCACTGGGAGTTATTTTGGAATTACTCGCTAGCACACTCGCCTGGCGAACCTTCACCACACTCATTCGCCTGGAGAACTTGCCAGCGAAGACAGGGTGGATGCTTCTGACTTAGTTCGCTGCCGTTCGCCTGGCGAGCCTGCGAACTCAGAACTTCCATGGTTGTCCAAAGCCCAAACCTCACAAAACCAACCAATTCTAACACCAAACTACCCCAGTAAGTCCAACCCAATAACACCCGATTATCCTACTCCATCCATTTCTCGATTTTAACCGGTTAAAACCACATTCTACCGATTAAATCCTAATATTGCCCTAAGATGGAAA